CGCGGCGTCGCGGCTCGCGGGTCCGCGGGAGCCACCGCTCTCCGCGCCGAGTCGCAGAGCGGAGACTGCCTTCCTGGTGCTTCTGGGGGTTTGAACTGGGCCCCCGAGCCCCGGCCCCGCCCCCGGGCCGCGTCCGGGAAGCCCCCTTTTTCCAGCGTACGCTCCAGCGTTCTCACTCTACTCTCAGTGAAGGTGCGGCGTGGTGCGGTCGGCCCCGCGAGCCCCGCGGGACCACGGCCTGCCACCCCAGAGACACCCGGTCCCCGCCTGCCGTCGGTCCCCATTTCCGGCCCGTTTTCCCAGGGCTGCCGTTTGCACGCAGCATCTCCTGCCTGTGGCCTCGGGTCTGGCGGCCTTCCCGCAGAGCCAGGTGCCGAAGGCGCGTCAGTGCTCCTCCCTCGTTACTGTGGAAGGGCGTTTGTCAGCTGGAGAGCACACAGGTTGTTCAGCCACGCGGAACACTTTGCCCAGCAAAATGTTCTGCTCTAGTAGATGATGGCGGGAGCTGATGGCCCAATCCCACCTCTGTCCCTGAAGTCTCTCCTGAATCCCCAGACACCCCTTATAATCAAGGGTGGTTGTTTCTAAAAAAGTGAGCTCTAAGGCAGCGCTTGAAGAACCTTGGGAACACTAGGAATGAGTTTCATTATCGCTCCCAATTCCTGTGTTCTTTGGTTCTCTTCCATCTGTCTGGCTGGACTGCTGCCTTTCAATTTGTGTGGCTGCCACAGGGTGACAGACAAAGAGAGTAACACAACTAGAAGGACCTAGGCAGTGGCCTGCACCTCTCCCTCTCAAAGGGTTTATAGCAAGTTCTTACTTCAGGAGGGAGTCGTATTTATTAGCTGGTTGGTGAGCTGAAATACTAACAAGAGGCCAGAACTTAGGTTTGGTATTTGGATAAAAAGAGATGAAGGGTCTCTTCCCTTTCTTTGTCTTTGAGGCAGGTTTAGGAGGTGATTTAAAAAAAAAAAAAAAGGCCGGTATGTCTTCCTTTGTTGACTAGGTTGTTCTGACATGTTGCAGAGATCTTTTTGCTATATTTATTAATCTTGACAATGTCTTTTTGCTTAAAGAAATGAATTTAAAATGAGGAAAGTAGATAGTTTGGAGGTACTTCATGTGGCTGGTATTGCCAGATGATCAAAGGATAAGCAAAGGCTGCTAGGAACCAAGAGAAATACATGAAGGACGTAGGATGGCTATATAAATAACATAAAAGTCAATGACACAATAAACCCAGGGTTATCTGTTGACACAAGAGCTACAGTACAGGTCTCTTTCTTTTCTTTCTTCCTTTTTTTTTTTTAATATAGAACTAAATTAGACGTAGTAACATTCAGGAGGTTGAGACGGGATGATTTTGAGTTGGGGGCTATTTTCAGTCACATAGTGAGTTTGAGGCCAGCTTTGGTGACCTAGTAAGGCCCTGTCTCACAAACAAAAAAAACAGGGCTGGGAAGGTGGCTCAGTGGTAGAGTGCTTGCCTTGAATGCATGAGACCCTGGGTTTCATTCCTCAGCACCACATAAGCAGAAAAAGCCAGAAGTGGAGCTATGCTCAAGTGGTAGAGTGCTAGCCTTGAGCTGAAGAGCTGCAGGACAGTGCCCAGGCCCAGAGTTCAGGCCCCATGACTGACAAAAAAACAAACAAACACAAAAAACAAAGACCAGGTGTTATTGTGCATAACTGTAATCTCTGCTACTCAAGAGGTGATTCCAGTTCCAGGCCAGCCTGAGCAAAAGTTAAGGAGATCTCATCTCCTGTTGGTGCATGTCTGCTATCTTAGCTACAAAAGTTTGAAGAGTAACTGTCTGAAAACCAACTAGCAGGAAGTGTTGAGGGGGCATAACTCAAATAGTAGAGTGACTGTCCAATAAGCATGAGACCCCAAAACACTCACACATAACAAAAAACCCTACAACTTACTGATGGTCAGAATGTGCCAGAAGAAATAGTTCAATCAGACTTAAGTATATACCTTTATTTTAAGATTTTTAAGTATATACCTTTACTTTAAGATAGTATGTACTGACATTGCTTAATTGCTAGCCTGTTAAACAATGGTAATATTTCAAGCATGCAATTAGTTAGGGAAGTGGTAGCTATGTAGCTAGCTTTTAATTAAAGTGGTTAGTACCCTTGCATGGCTTAAACATTCATTCTTCCTGGAGCTATCTCAGTAACTAGCTTATTAGAATGCAAGGCTTGGCTTCATAATTAGATGATTATCCATCTGTGATACAAATAATGTCCTCTACCTGAATTAGGTCTTAAAAGTATTTCCAGATAATTTCCGATGTCTTTAAGTTACACCAAAAGTATAATCTTTGTGATATTCTTCTATTATGCTAATTATAAGTAAAGAATCTTAGAGCAGATATTAACTGACAGACAGGAAGACCATTTGTTTACCTAGGTAATAAATTTGCTTTATTTTGTCTCATTTTACACACATTCATCGTGTCTTATTTCTGGTACACGGGATTTGAACTATGTCTTTTTCATTCATTTAGTATTTGATGTCATTTTTTTTTTTTTTGGTGCTATTCCTCAGGATCTGGGCGCTGTCCCTGAGTCTTTTTTGCTCATAGCTAGCAGTCTACTGATTGAGCCATAGCTCCACTTCTGGCTTTTTGGCAAGTAAGTGGAGATAAGAATCTCACAGGCATAGGATTTAACTGCCAGGTCTTACTTCATATGGCGATCCTCACATCTCAGCCTCTCCTGAGTCGCTCATATGACAGGTGTGTTAGAGGAACAGTCAGGCTCATGAAAGATCTTCTTTTAGGTATTCCTTTTATGGACCTACAAGAGATCTTGTACATCAAGAATTCCTAGAAATTAAATCTAATTAGCCTTGGTAGATCCAGTAGCACATTAATTAGGCCCAAGAGAAGATGATATACCAATGGGAGCCAGCGAGATGGTGAACATTTTCAAAGGGTGCCTTTTTCTTAGGCTTCTGTCAGGACAGTTTAAAATTGCTGCACAGCATTCCCTAGTGTAGATGAACCATAATTATTTCAACCTTCCCTACTATTGCACATTTAGATGATCTCTAATTTTTCCCATTTTTATTGTGTCCTCAGTCGTAAGTGGTTATATGCTTTCAGGTTCACATGTTGGGATGGAGTTCAGAGGATTTTAGAAAGACAGGTTCCTCCTCCTAACTCTGTTTCCTCTGCAGACAGAAGGTTTCAGTTCCCAGCTAGCTTTCCCTCTTGCTAGCATGGCATGGGGTCCTGGGCAAGTGGCTTAGCTCCCCTGGGCCCGATATCTCTTCTGAAAATATTACAATAGCAGGCTGTTGTGATGATTAAATGAATTATACATGCAAATTACTTAGAATAGCACTGGCCAGATAAGAAATGATCCGTTAGTGTCAGGTTTTTGCTATTACTGGATTTATTAGGCCAAACCCTGAAGCTATGTACATTTTAAGGGTTTTGGAAAATTGCTGTTCTAACAAAAGTTCTAACAGATTTGTTTTTTATATTTACCAGTAACACATTAGGTTACATCTGTTATTAGGTTTGTTGAATTGTATTAGTTACTCATTTATTGGTGACAATATGATGAACTTGGAACCCTCACGCATACTAGGCAGGTGGTCCACCACTTAAGCCAACACCCCAGCCATTTTTGCTTTTGTTATTTTTAAAAATAGGGTCTCACTTTTGCCCTGGCTGAGCCCTTGCTTCTGTTTATGCCTTCTGTAGCTGTAGCAGGGATGACAGGTACAAGCCACCATGCCCAGCTAAAATTGGTTGAGGTGGAGTCTTCTGAACTTTTTGCCTGAGCTGGCTTAAACAGTGGTGCTCTCAACCTCAGCCTCTTGAATATCTAGGATTACAGGCATGAGCCACCATACATACCTGGCTTGAATTTGTTTTGTTTTGTTTTTGAGACAGGGTCTCACTTTGTAGCCCAGGATGGCCTGGAACTTGAAATACTCCTGCCTCAGCCTCCTGAGTCCTGGGATTACAGGTATGCACCCTCATGCTGTTTGGGTTAGCTGAATTCTTAAACTTATTATATACTGAGTACTTCAACTTTTTTTTTTAAGATGTCACTCTTATAATGTTAATCATACAAACCCAGGTTAATTTTAACAGGGTTTGTGTTGTGTGCCATTACTACTAGGGCTTGAATTCAGGGCCAGGGTGTTCTCACTTAGCTTCTTTTCCCTCTACCACTGCTCTACCACTTGAGCCATGCCTCAAAAGCTGTGCTTTTTGGTGGTTAATTGAAAGTAAAAGTCTTGGTTTTCCCTTCCCTGGGCTGGCTTTGAACCCAAATCCTCAGTTCTGTTCCTCCTAGGTAGCTAAGATTACAGTTGTGAGCCACCAGGCCTGGCCAAAAGTTTTCTTGAGTGTGAATGTTTCTAGAAGAAGTGCCATCTCCTTAGAATGAGATAGATGGTCAGCCCATGTCCCAGTTCCATGTCCATGGGTTCAATCAGTTGATAGTCAGATAGACCTAGGGAATAAATCATATTGGTGCTGATTGTGTAACTTTCTTTTGCTGTCATTTCTAGACAGTGCTGCATAACAACCACTTACATAGTATCTGTGTTGTATTAGATGTCACAGCCATCTAGTGATCATTTAAAATATTCAGAAGGATGGCAAGGTTATATGGAAACACTGCATCATTCCATTCATCCATCTAATTTTCATCATCTATTATTGGGGACTAAACCTTTGGGCTTTGTGCTTAATAGGCAAGCTCTCTACCACATGAGCTGTACCCAGTCTTTTTTTTTTTTTTTTTGGAGGGGGAGTGGTTGTGCAACTTGAACTCAGGGCCTGGATGCGATCCCTGAGCTCTTTTGCTCAAGGCTAGCACTCTACCACTTTGAGCCACAGCTCTACTTCAGGTTTTTTGAGTGGTTAATTGGAGATAAAAGAGTCTCATGGGGACTTTTCTGCCTGGCCTGGATTCTAATCATGATCTTCAGATCTCAGCCTCCTGAGTTGCTAGGATTACAGGTGCCTGGCTAGTCCTTTTGTTTTGGTTTTTTTGAAACAGGGTGTTGCTAACCTTGCTTAAATTGCCCTTGAGTGTATGATCCACATGATCCATCTGAGGAGCTGGGATTATAGGTGTCACTGTGCCTGGCAGTTGTTTTTCATTTCTGACTTCTTCCTGTTGCTTGTTAGTTATTAATATTATTTGATCAAACCAGCTTAGTCTTCCCTGCCATAATCCATTGCTTGTGCAATGCTGTCCTCATCTGCCCATTCTCCAGCTCCCTGTGTACCCCCTCTTTAGAACACCCACCTTCTTGTCCTCAGCATATGTATTCAGAAAGGGAGGAAGGGAAGAAGTTAGGATTTCGTTCCACATGTTCACACTGTGTACACACTCTGTGTGGCTTCAGCAAGCCTGTGTCAGGGCTTATGCATGCCAGCCTTGGTTCTGTGGGGCTCCTGGGAGGCTCAGTTGTTTACATGAATGACTAGAGGCAGTCTGCATTTTCAAGTACACTGGACAAGTCTGGGACTGACCTGCAGGACCCTCATGATCAGTACCTTCTCCAGTTGCACAAATCATTCCCCCATCTTTCTTCCTTCCAAATACACAATTTATCAGTAGCTAAATGCTATGTTTCACTTTCTGGGCTTCTTATCTGGAAGGTCATCTTTGAGGTCAGAGGTTTCTGCTGGGTTTATTCCCTGGAACAGGGCAACTCAGGCCAAGCTGAGAGCACTGGCTCTGCTGGCCACCCGTGGCTCTGTGTCACTCCTACACCTGGCCTTCCTAGCCTCTCCCCCTTCCACAGGGCCTTCCTCCAGCTCCTCCCCAGCTTACTTCCGCAGAAGCTGGCTGCAATGTCTCCCTCCATACATTCAGCAGGGACTGTGTCAGCTCAGCTTCCCTGATGCCCTAGTCTTAGCTCTCTGCCGTTTTCCTTTTGTGCTTTTGATTTGGCTGTGTGAGCTAGGGTCGGCTTCCTGTGCTGTATCCCACCTAGAGGAATCTGCCCCCGATGTACTTGTGTGCTCTGCAGCACCTGGCAGTGTCTGAACTTAGGAAGCACTAAAATTACATTGATTTTCTGGAACCCTCTTAAAGTACTATTTTTTTTT